CTCTGGGAAGATTGCAAGGCTGTGGGTTCCAGGAGTTAGTTTATGTGTGGATTATTTTTTTTTAACTGTCCTTTCCGCTTTCAGTTGGGTAAAAGATTCTGCTGTTTTGAATAAGACAACGTATTAAAATGAAATAATGTGCATTGTATTATGTGACTTTTTAAAATCTTACTCTTCAAACGTGATTAATTTACCTTCAGTTTGGGGCTGAACAGAACAGCGTATCGTGGAGGCACTGGTCTGTGGGTAACCCTGGCACCCACCCTGGCAGGAGTCTTCCATAGGCAGGAGAAGATCCATAGTGCTGCAGGTGGCTGTTGTGACCCTCACTGTGTGCCAGTCTGTCTAGCCCTTTAGCATGCCTGTAATGCTCTGTCCTGCCGAGAAAGACAAATCCCTTCCAATGGCTTAAATCTACTTTAAACTTTGTAGCGTGGCAGTAAAAGCGGGGGAGCACTGTTGGTCAGTAATGGTGACACAAAGGATGTGCTCAGTTCCAGCGTGAGCAATGATTATGTTCCCTTTCCCTTCACACCCCTGTGTGATGGCTGATTCTGCTGAGGTAGCTAGTACAAAATGATTTACTTTTGTTTCTTATTTCTTTGTTATTTTTTCTGCTGATTTAACAAGCTCAAATGGGATTACTAAAGGACAAGGCTCTCCCCCGCAAGAATTCTTTGTTCCAACATTAGTTTACAGAAGAATCTGCTAGCGCAATCTCAGCTCTGGTCCATGGGGGCACAAGGAACTCAGATCAGATGATGGCCCTTGTGATCCTTAAGTGACCACAAAAAATCAACATCCTGAATTCCCTAGGCTAATTTGCAAATGGACACATTTGAACTGCACCTCAGCAAGCTAATGCTCATTTAACATCATCTTCTTTCATTCATGGTGACCTCTCCTCCAAAGGAGGAGAAATGCTGCAGGTAGAAAAGGGAATTAGTCACTCTATGTTTGTTTGCATTTTTTTTTTTTCTGCCACAGGTCTTAAGCCTGAACCCAAACATAATATTAAATAGATACATATAGACCAGGGAAAGCCACCTTTGCCTTTCCCCGATGTTGCTGCTTTGTGAGACATGTTGGGGTATTTGTATCACAGACAAAAGCCGGGTTTATGCTGGCGGAGAAGGAAGGGTTTGGCCCAGCTCCAAAGTTCACAACTTTTTTGTATGTACATGTTACAATTTTAGGGAACTGTCCCAGAATCAACACTCGCCTGGGAAATACTTTCCCATCCCACCCTAACCTTCCGCTCACTTTTCCTACAGTTGAATTTGCAACGTCAAGCCTTTTTATTAAAAAATAAAAGGCCAGCTGACAGTAAGTGGGAAATTATTCTTGAATTCTTATATTTTATGACAGAACTTGTATTGCGTGCACAAGAGCCCACGAGGGTAGCGCCTGGGCCAATTCAAGGGGTCTCTGTGAGTTGTCATGGGGTTAGGAGGCACACTGTGTGTAGAAATACAGCAATTGGTTTCTTCTCTATGTGTGATGACCCCTGTGAACATAAATTTCTGAATACAGTGGCATATTTTAAGAGATTTGTGGTTTTTTCTGTATTTTATAGACAAAACATGTAGTAACATTTTCATACAGAAACGAAGAAAATATAATTAAGGGTTGTTATTTGTCTGTGTGACCACTTCAGCCTTCAAGGGACTATGTTCCTGTGATGGAAAAAAATGTATGAGATGGTGTGATTCCTTGAGTATTGCTCCCTGGGTGTAGTTAAAGGGGTTCGAGTCGTGGCTGGTTCTTATGTGTTTGGATAAGAGGCAGAGAGGACACAAAAATCAAGTTTATGATGGAAATATGAAAAAGAGGCCGGCTGCTCCCTCTCTCCCAAGAGGGCTGCAAGAACGTCAGTGTGAGGTCTGGGACTTTTTCTTTTCCTTTAAGAAAATATTTACTGGTTCTTTTCTACATTCCTTACACAGTCTAAACAACACTGAAGCCAAGGAGGGCTGGGTTTGGACTATGAACTTTTTCAGCTTTTTTAAAGTTGAGCTGTGAAATTGCTGATAAAAACAGCTTTTTTTTTTTTTTTTTGAAGCTGTTCACTTAGGGTACATCTAAACTGAGGTTGTTTTCTCATCATCTTTAAAATTGCTCATGCTAAAATTTTTCAGCACCCAAGGATACCTGGATCCATTGGGGTTGTGGACACATACCCTCTTTCTCATTTCCTTTGTGGTAGGGGGTTGTTACTACCCTCAGCCCAGGGTGTTTGCTGCTTGTCACTAGCTCACCGGCCAGATACTGTCCCTTTGCTAATCTGCCAGTCCAGCCAGGTTAGCAACAGCGTACTGCTCCTCAAAGGTCCGCCTGTTTGCTTTGGTTGAAGATGCTCTGGGGTGCTTGCCCTGGCACCGGGCAGGGAATGGGACACTTGTAATAAAGCCCCGTGACAAGAAGCCGGTTGGCAGCCACTAACCTTTTCCCCTGGCACAGCTGTTTGCAGAGCACCCATCTGCTCAGGCTTATTGGAAAAGCTGGCTGGATCAATGTAAATCACTTAAACCTGGACCCGTGGTCTTGTTACTAGCAAGGTGCCACCCCTTTAAATGCCATGATTAATAGCCAACGTCTGTGGGGATATTTTGCCCATCAGTGGCTAAAGCAAATTGATTTTGGGAGAAATCAGAAAATTGAAAGGAGAGTTGGGGAAATGTTGTGTTTCTGCTAACGCAGCCACAGACTTCAGTGATTTGCAATTGCTCAAACAACCATTTTTTAGCGTTCGTTAATGCCTTCTGGCATTGCAACGTCCCCAGCTTATGCCGGTTGTTCTGAGTAGCATTCAATAGCAAATGGATGTCCTGTATGCTTTGTGTCCCCCGTAGCGGCAGAGGGTAGAACAGGGTCACGCATGTGTGGGAGTGTGCAAGAGGACGAGGTAGCTCTTGGGGAGGAAGGCTGGGAGGCGCGTTGCAAGAGAAGGGACTGCACAGAGCCCCCAGCTTGGTTGGATGGAGTAGGTTACCTTGGGAAACCCCGACCTGCGCTAGGAAAGCAGGGGCCACATGGGGCTGTTGAGGCAGTGACTCTGGTTACTGCTTCACTGGGTCATTACTTTTCCAACCTGGGACAGAGATATGCCACAATGTCCCAAGCATGTTTTGATTTTGCCTAGCTTTAAATACTGCTGGGATTTAACACCCACTATACATGCTTTCTGTTATAGCTGTAGATTGACCCTGTGTTTTCAGCATTCACCTTGAATTTCAGAGGTTGGCTGGTAAAGTGTCAGCAAACCCATGAGTGAAGATTTATACTGGACCTCTGTTTTCCTTTGATAATGGACTAAAAAAGATCCCTGAACGGAATAAACTGTGTGGACAAAATGACTTTTTTTCCCCTTTTATAATTACATTTTTGCTATTTTTTTTTTTTAATAGCATAACTGTGGGGAAAGAAAGAAGAATTATACCCTATATGACATAGCAATATCAGCAGAAATCCTGCAGTAAAAAGAAAATAAATCCATATGCTTTATTTTAGAAGTCAAGAACAGTCTAAAGTTACTTTTAAGTTGCTGGATGCTGCCTAAAGGTTAGGCTGCATTTTGTCTGCAGCAGACGCTGAGCACCCACCCAGACATACCAAGCTAGACCTCATGGCTCACGTTACATGTATTAGCTCAGCGATGGTATCCTGGTTGTATGTCTAAAAATTCAGGCTGAGGGTTGAGGAGAGCTTAGGTGAGGGTGGCTGATGAAGGTAGTACTGCTACCTCTACAGCTGATCTGTTCATCAGTCAGATCCTGGGCTGCCTCAGCTCACGGACATAGTTTTAAGGCAAAACAGGACTGGTGATCCTTGTCTGAAAACACAGTGCTGTGAGCTGTGGCAGTTCAGGTGCAGCCTGACGACCAGCTCAGGTACCCAGGGGTGAAGGAGAGAGTAGGTGGACAGGAGGAAGCACACAAGCTGAATCCTCCTTCCCATCCATCAGAGCCATGAGTCTGGTGTTGTTCAGGACATGGATTCGCTTTACCACTTCAAGGATGCTTTTGTTGTCACAACTGCGATGGCTACACTGGCAAATTGTTCGATGCGTACATAAGATCGATGATATTTGAGTATGTGCTTGTAAGTAAATGAGTACGGTGTAAGGTAAAGTCACTTCTCATGTGTTTCATCGGGTCTGACCCTCCTAAACTGCCACGTGTCACATTTCAGAATGGCTGAGGGCTTAATGTCCCACTAAAATACAGCCGGGTGGGCATGTTGACTGGAAGAGTATCTTGGACTATAGCTAGTAAAGCTACCTATAGATATAGCTGTTTGCAATACGGAAGTCTGATGTGTCTCTTCAAATGCAGTCCTTGTTTCTTTAGCTAGGTAAACTGATAACTGTGGTTTCCACCCATCCAGAGCTTACTTGTTTGATCCAAACCGTTTTTCTTTAAAGTCTGGCAAAACTCGCTGGTGTTAAGTAATGTTAATTGAGCTAAGTTGCTGGTTTCTCTTATTGTGCCAGCAGCAAATAACCTTCAATAGAACATCTTCTGCTACAGTTTCTTTCCGGAGATGATTTTCATGGATAGTGGTGGTGTTTGTTAAGATTGAGATGCATACAAAGAATTTTCCAAGGCTGAGATGAGGGATAAATCTGCTTATTTTGTTTAGTCTGAATTGACCTTCTGCAATATAATGAAAATAAAGGGGTGTCTGATTTTTTTATTCTTTGTGAGCCATCAGGTTTTGTTATAATGTATGGAAAAGTGGAGTTTCCTTAAATGTCACCGTTTT